TAACTTTGTTTGCCAATTGATTGTTCATCGCTATTGTTTCATCGCTCGAAGTTAAGCCGATTTCAATTCCTTTGTCGTTGATCTTTTCGATTTGCTTTCGAATTTYTCTATACTTTGGCTCTATTTGTGCATAAATATTTTTTATTAGTTCGATTCTTTCTCCGGGATCTACTTCGGCAACAAGTTCAAATTCTTCGAAAAGTTCATATAAAGCACTCAATGAATTGTCTCTTTTGGCGACGAGCGTCTTAATGTCAACTTTCGGCGGCATACTTTTTCAATTGCCATCGCTGATCAAATATTTTCACTCAAATATAAAGTAGTAGTTTGTCATACCTTGATGTCGATGATTGCTTACTTGACTCAATTGAGTTTTCAAAGTGTTCTTTAGCTTCGGTAGTAGAAATAAATTGGAATCCAGTAGATAAACTTGTTAGCTTTTGTATTTGTAGCTTGCGTCTTTGCTTCGGTAGCTTGACTTTAGTTTTTGTTGCTTCTGTAGCATAAATATTCTTTGCTTCTGTAGCTTGAAATTCATTTGCTTCTGTAGCTTGAGTCTGTGGGCTTCGGTAGCTTGAGTTGACGATTTCGTAACAAATTTTTGACTGAATTGAACGACCACAATTTTTGCACCCAGATTCTTAACATTTAATCGTGAATAAATGATTATACAAGAAGAAGAAGGTCAACTGAAACAGATTACAAAATTATTACTTACATGTAGGATTAGAAAAAAGGAGAAAATGAAGATTACGTATACTTACAAATTTGTGTTCTTTTCGTCCTAAAAGTTCAGCGTCAACTAAATTTAATTATCATATTCTTGTCTATTTGTTGAATGTTATATACCCCAAGGGGGCTTATCAAAACTAATAAAGGATAATACAATAAAGGTCATGTCCAAAACACTCCAATTTAACTTTCGACTGGAGAGAATCATCGTTCGTCTGTCACACGTTCGTTTTAGCGTTGTACAGCTACTTCAGAAGAAGTATTGATGTTCCTTGTTAGACTTACATTGATGAAAGGCTTCAGGGTGAACTTCTGACCAGAAGGGAGTCATGGTCTGTGCTCTCGGAGGGGCGACAGGAGTCGTCCAAGTTAGCTTAGCCAGCACTTCGGTAGCGATTGAACTCAATCTTGTACTCGTACGTTGTCAAGTCTGAGGTTCCCTATCAATTTTGGTATGGCTACACCAATGTCATTTAAAAGTCTATGCTACGTCCTAGGACGCGTTGAAAGTACTTTGGCTTTGAAGTGGATCCAACAAACAGACCTTCATTCTTCCTCTTAGTCATTGATATATTTGATGGCAAAGAAGCCGCGCTTTATCGAAACTTACAGGGATTTCTAAGGAGTTTTTCTCGGTAATGTCAGAGA